GGTCGCGTCCTCTCTTTTAAGTTGGTTAACAGGTCAAGGAATAAGACTGTAAGAGCGAACGGAACATTCAATATTTCGGGTTTCTTGAGGTATAATAAGGTGTAATCGTACAAATATGATAAAAGATCAGGTAATATTATCAAGATCTACAGTATACAATTAAAATCAATTCAAATTATGGTGTATAATTATTTCTCGGAATAAAATAACACCGTAATGAAAGTTCACTAAATTATAAAAATATTGAAAATTTTGAAATATTTACAAATACAATATTGAGTCCATAATTTATCCATTTATCCTATTCATAAAAATAAAAACAAGAATTTTATTGATAATTTTTAAATATTTTGTACTTAAAAGCAAATACAATTTTTTGTTATAAAAATTGTAAACAAACATTTATTTAAGTACTCATATTAATACAATTATTTATTTTATTGTTTTAATGTAGCCCGGCGACCCTCGTAACTGATGGCCCCGCAAATTATACAAATAAAAAATGAGGTTATGGCCTTGTTACACTTTAAATCGTCAACTTACTGTATATTTTACAATTATAATATTTCGGAGATGGACCTACACGGTACAGGCTTACAAAGATGCACTTGTATTAGTATTGTTTTTTTACATATCGTGTCAAGGGTAATTTACTAATGTCTATAAGGACTCCCGTGAACTAGTTTACGGAAATATTCATAATTCATAAGGATTTAAAAAAAAACTGTATAAGTAAATTAAATCCTACTAAACAGCAAAAAAAAAAAAAAAATCCAGGGGTTTATATTAATTTATACTAATGGAATTTTATTAGAATATTTTACCACATAATATTACAAAAATAATAAATATACTAATTGTATTGTATTTAATATCAATGTATTGTAACGTCTGTTTCTTTATTTAGGGTAAAATGTAACATATATCATAATGAATTTATTAAAAAGGAATAATTACTATAAATTCGTTTAAATATAAAATACATACTAGTAAAAATAAATCAAATAACATTAATTTTTAAGTAAATCTTAATGTTTGATATATTTCAATAATTTGTGGCATCATTAAATGTATTTTTTTTCTTTGTATCTTTAAAATTGACTTTAGTGCCAGAAATATTTTAATAGATTAATGCATTCATATGGGTGTCAAACGGAAGAAAGGCCCGACCTTCCGGAAATAGAGCTATGCTAGACATAAAAACCCTGAAACACCTGTTTTTAATCGGTATAATTCACACAAAGATCAAAATATAATTTAAAACAATTTTAAATGCATATTATAAGAAATTAAGTGAAACCATAAAATATTTCAATAAATAAAGAATTCTGTTAAATAAAAAGTTGTATTTATAACTATGATAAAATAATAATATTTTTAGTACATTGTTAAATATATACATAAAAATTATTATTTCAATAAAATTTATTTAATAATAAGTTATTTAATAACTAATGATTTTAACTTGTTTTATTATACTAAATAAACAGAATGTTATTTTGATTTGCAAAGTATTAAATTAGTAGATACTATTTTATTAAATTCATGAAAACAACATTTAATACAATAAAAATACATTTCATTCATTTATTCAGTTATTTACCTGAGAAGAAAAAAGGAATCATTCAAAATCTAGGTAATATTATATGAGCCGTGCAGTTTCATATTTTATATATAAATAAAAAAAAAATACAAAATCACACACATCATCTTAGTAAAACTGCAGTATACACTCACAACTATTTAAAATCAAAACAACTTAGATACTAAACAAATGTGTAAGAATGCACGTAAGGTAACCAACTAACTACCTGCTGTGGTTCACCTGAACCCCAATAGTGAATTCTTAGGTTTATATTATTTTTGTACAAAAGGTGGATTTATGCATTAAACTCTGAACACAGTAGAATTGAAGCTGTGAAAGAAAAAATTATAAAAGAAAAATGCCCCTTCTTATTTGATTTTTTTTCAAAAGAAAAAGGGACTATGTTCAAACATATTATGAACTATAATAGTGGTATCATAACGTGTGGGTGTTATGAGCAGGTGATAAACCTGTGATCTAGAAGTAGGATGAACCCTTGTACCACATGTACGGTAAGGTGACAAATAACAAATTATTTATTTTTTATTTGCAAATATTTTTAAAAAAATATTACACATATAGAAGATTATATTATCAATAATAAAATTAAAAAACATTAAAAATAATTATACCGTCAGTCGGAGAGGAAAGATTCGTTATTTACTTCTAAACTCTAAATTAACTTTAACATTTGTAGATGTGAACGTTATATTTATTTTCACTGCATATAAAAATTATTATTATAGTGATTTCAACTCCAAAAGGATTGAGTATTCCCTTCATATTTTAGCCCTTGTCAATCAACACACCAAAGAATTAGAATATGAATTTATGTGGCATGTAATTTTCTAACACGAATTTTAATTTTTAATTCTTGATTTTATAATATAAATAGAAAGGCTAATTTGTTTATCTTATTATGCCTTGTAAAATAATCAAGTACTAAAACTAGAAATAATGTAATCAGAAATACATTTAAAAGTGGTCTAGTTAGTCCATTTGAAAAAGATATTACATACGTTAACAATATAAATAACTTTGTACCTATATACATTTTAAGATATTCTGAATATATTTGTTAAATCAAATACTATTCTTTAAATTTTAGATTGTGTACTTCAAAATATTCAGAATAATTATTAAGGACAAAAATGATTAAATCGAAAACTAAGATAGAACACCTTGTTAAAAAAGCATAGATTTTTCATTTGTTAGCAACAGGCCGGCCTTGTAGTCAGATGACATTGCTTAGGACGCACCAGTTGTCCTTGCTTAGGTGCAATTCTTCCTGTAATAACCCAACCTCTGCTCAATCAATTTAAAAAAATCAAAAATGTATATTATATTCATACAGCCCCTAGAGTAAAATGTTAAAATAATAAAAATAATATTTAAATTAAACCTACGAGTATACGATACTAATGAACAAAAATGAAAAACTAATCGGTAGGAAAAAATATCTGTAACATGAGAAAGTACCTACCTACTTTTGTGGCCTCCAGACATTATTTAAATTTGATAATTTCATAACTAATCGTACGTTGTATAATCAATAAAAATCCATCATTAAATAATATTAAACCAATATGTATAATTTTAAACTATAATATTACAAATATTCATTTGTTGGTAAATAATAAATTTAAAAATAATTGAATTGTTATTAAATGTATACTATATAATTAATAAATTCCGTAACAAAATAATTAAAAACAATTTAAATGTATTTAACAGATAAGCTCTATGTTTAAAAATAAAATATATATGTGGGTATAATATTTAGCAATTCTATAACAGGTGTATTTATGATAACTGGAGAAAGTGTAAGAAAACTTTTTATGGGTTTTCAATTTTAGAACTAGGTACCTACATATATAATCTATATATAATTATATGTATAATAAATACTACATAGTGAGAAGTTTATTCGACGTTTCCAAAGCAATTTCAAAGTAAATTATATAATGACAAATAATTAAACAAATAATATAGTCATTAATCGAACATATACCATTAGTAAAATGAAATAAATACCAATATTGAACACCTGCATCTTGATAATGTAAACAATTAGCACAAATTAACCTCATCATATAGCCATAAAATTATATAAAGGGTGTTTTACATCCCATGACCTTGTTTTCACCTGTCATAACTCATATTTTTCTATCTACCCTATTAAAATAAATCATTTTGAATAATATTATAGTCTTATAATTCGTATTCATAATCTTTAATTATTTGCTTAAGCCTGAAATTATACTCAAAAATAAAGTTCATAATAGCTTTATTCAATGAAAATTAATTTCCATATTATAGGTCAAATGATGAAATTTAAAATGAATTATAATATAAGAATAACTATCAATTATTTTAATCATCTTTATATTTAGGATAAGTCATATATATCCTTAAATAAGAATTTAATTTTAAAATGCTCAACCTTAGGCAATATTAGCGAATTTAAACGTTTCCTACTTATAGTTAGTGTGAGAAGGGAACGCATGATATGACGTAAATTAGAGGCCAATACATAACCTTGATAATGATTACGATTCAAACCCAAGTTTATCACAGTTGTAAATGAAAGATTTTTCAATGTTAATATTATTGTAATCTCAGAATTTTCAAAAAAATAATAAAAAAATATATTTCAAATATTAAATAAAACTGCATTGCTTATAAATAAAGTACATGTGTATAAATAATTTGTTTAACAATAATACGCTGAATATATAAAAAAATAATTTAAGGAAACTCGTAATTTAATAGCACACTGGAAACATAATGATAATACACTTCCAAATATAACCTCATGATTATAAACTTCATTGTGATATAATAATCACTTCATAAATGAGACAAGAGGTTACATGCTATATATATACCATCCAATATATATATTATGAGTACCAAAAACTCAATTTTACTTTTTCTATTAAAACGCAATTACTAAAATATTAAGTTATGATAAAACAAAACAACTGTATTAATGTACTTTTTTTATCAAAAAATACTTATCGATACTTAATATTAAATATTAAATAAAAATTAAATTAAAAATATATTCTTTTGTAATACATGTACTTTTAAACATCGTGTTCAATCACATTGTTTCAAAAAACACCAAACGTGTAGAAACTACTTTAATAAAAGCTGATCGTTGTATAGATATTGGAGGCAACCCAAGGGCAACCTTGGCTATGACATTGTATCATTACAACTCATGATTGTGTCTGTGTTGTATTCTCGTAGTCAATTGTATATATTAAAATAAATACATTTAATATTTTAATTACAAAGGTCGGAATAAGAGGGCAGTAAAAAATGTGTACTTGCAAGTTTAGAGAATATTGATTACAAACTATAATAAATAATAATAAAATTAGTTAAGCCTTCAAAATAATGAACTCACCTGGCTAAAGCCATCCTAAAACATGTATCAATGTTTATGTTTAATTTTACTTTCGAGTAATCCACTTTTGGCGCAGCCACTTTACTTAAATTTTTAAAAATTGATAATATTGCACAACCTTTATAATTATTTCACTTTATTTTAAATTATAAGTTTAACATTTGGCACTGTTACGAATATTATTATTAAAAACGACAAATTTATTGAATAAAATATTTCTATTATTGTTCTAATGTAAATTAAGATGACCTTTGACCCGGTGATTCTTTTATGACACGTTTTTAGATAAAATCGCACTACAACAGCGAACACCACACCGGGCTGGAACGGAATGAAACAATCGCAGTAGATACCATCATGAGGCACGAGGTTAGACTTTTTAGAGGGGAATACGAATACAGTGTGAACGAGTACGATAATATTTTATAACCCGTACAATATTTTTTAGTTACGAAATTGATAGTGAATTATATATTTAAAAAAGTTAACGGATTTAAAATTGACAAAAAAATTGTTTTTAAAACAAAATATTAATGTCTATTGATATCCATTAACACGAAATATGTGATACTGAAATTAGCTTATAGGTTACAGGGTAATAAGAAGTATGTAACCATACAAATTACATAGTGCAGTGTACATACATATGAAGGGTACAGGGAAAAACGGTAGTAGTCCATTTCTATAAATTTTTCAAGGGGCATAATGTTAAATGTGCGTACACGATTTAACGAAATAAAGATTAAGATTCTTTTACTACCATAATAATAATACTGAGGTACAATATTGAATGTACTAATAACTTTATTACAATATCGTCATTTTTTTTTTGTCATTTTCGTGTCCCGTTATGTTGTTGCAATTTTGGATACGATTTATATGAAGTCAAATTTTTATAACAAACTACAAATTTTTTTTAAAAATTTTTTCACTAATACTAGTTTTTTATCTGATGAACAGTATAATGAGTTGATAAAAATTCAATCTACAAGAATTGGTCAAGGATTTTAAAAATGTGTTTGTAAGTCCAAATATAAAAATAAAAAGTGTATTTGCCTTAAAAATAAAATTGTATACACTTCAAAATGTCACTTTTTTACAACATGTTATAATAATTAAATAGTAGTTAAAGTAAAATATTTATATAATAATTATAATATAATAATAGATAGATATTAAATTTTGTCTGTAATATGAGTAATAATATATAATAATTATAAGCAGTGGCATACATTCAGTCTTGCTCTGTGGGGGGGGGGTTAATAAAAATAATCGTTATCTTTTTTTTTCGTTGCACAGATAAATAAGATTAATAACTGCTATAAATAGATATTATTTTATACAACTTTTTTACCAATTTACAGTTTACTTTTACATAACAGTAAATTAATAGCTATTGGAATATAAAAACAGCATCACTTTAAACAGCAAAACTTTTCAAACACCTATCAATAAAATTATTTAATTATCATATTTGTATAGTTGTATATTTTAAGTTCAAAGCGTAATAATGAAACTACGAATATATTACACGTCATCAATAATAAAACAATTTTTTTTTTTTGGCCCTGGGAGGTTTGAACTCGGCCCCCCCCCCCCGTATGTACGTTACTGATTATAAGAACCTTAATATAATATAATATGTAATAAAATGTTTTGCACTTTACTAAAAAAAAATTGACATTTTGCATAATGCCTAGGTATTTTGCAAAATACCAGAATTATCCATATTGCCAGTGACATATATATTAGATACATTTAAATTTTAACAATTTAGAACATTACAAATGATAAATTAAAACGTATTTAATATACTATTTTAATTTATTCAATTTATCCAAAATAGAATATACAAATACTTAATACTTATTATTTTATTTGATATATATATATATATATATATATTATATTTTTGGTAACTGTACTGTTCAATATCCAAAAGGTATTATAAATAAGTATACATTTTGTTCTTAAATTGTATAACGAGTATCATAAATATCATCAAAAATTAAGTTAACGAGATAATTATTTAAATATTTTGATAATAATACGATTTAACATAGAGAGCACTATAAGTATGGTATGGTAATATTTATTGGCTCTTATATACTATACTGTCAATACATTTTAATCTAACAAGTAAATATTACTTTTTCAGTGTTTAAAAACACTTTGATTCATTCACTATAAAACATAAATTCCATATAGATCGAAAACATTTGAAACTTAAGTATAAAATTTAAATATTAATCGATTAAAATAATTATGTAACCAATACAACATGGATAAGACCATTTAAAACAGTGGTGATGTAATATAGACATTCCGAAATCAATGGTACTTTAGAAATATGTATTACTTTTGTAAAATAAAAATTTCAGATAGGTTTAAGAATTTTTTTATAAAAACAACGAAGATTTTTATATTTAATCACAATTATTTACTTCATTGTTGCTTACTTTTTTTAGTTTAGTTAAACCTAATACATATGTAATATTTTCTAAAATTATTATCAATAGTTAAGTAGCTACAGCTATTATTTAAGGGACAACATTTAGGCAATTTCTAATCTCGTTGTAGCCGCCCAGGATTTTTTTGTTAGTTGTAAATGATTTTTGGTGTGCGTATAATTCAATACGAGTACCACGCTCCCTTCTAAACCATCAGAGCTGGTAGACGTAATCATGCTATTATTATAATCGCTGTTATACGAATGGTTCGTAGAATTATTTTTGAGTTCATTAGTTAGTTGTTTTATTACAATCATAATAATTATCAGATATTTTGTCAAACAGAGGTGTAGTATTATTATTATAGGTATACATATAAATTATATAGAGTATAGCCTATTCAAATTTACTTACATGGGTTATATAAAGTTCATCCCGTCAACGGCCACCGAACCACTGATGCGTCGTGTATAACCAGTGCCGTCCCGAGGGCAGGGCAAAACGGGGCACTTGCCCAGCGCCTCGCATTTTAAAATACATTTGCATGATATTCTATATTATGTATACATACTTGTATAAATTATATTACAAGAAAAATAAAAACCATTTAATAGAATTTTGGCTGAAAATAATAATAATAATTGAATAATTTTAATTTATGTTAAGTAAATATGAAAATATATTATTGTATACAATATGATTGTTAGAAAATTAAAACCACCTAGGGCCGGTTTCACCATTAAAGAGTTAAAGTTGAGATTGATTAACTCTGAGTTTATCAGTAACCCCAAGTTATCATTATTTCAGTTTCACCACCAGTTTATAAGTGGAAGTTAGTAAATCTCAGGTTAGCTAATTAATTGCTGGTATTAACCAGGATTCCCTCTCATTTTCCACTGATAGCATTGATAATACCGCTCATTGAATTGATAACGCTGAAAACGTTAACCTTTTCAGACCCAAATTAATTTCTTATAGAGATAAAAAAAATTTTATTGCTTATTTATTTTACTATGGACTATAATAAGAGTAATATGTTTTAAAAAAAATTTATTTTTAGATTTTGACGAATTTAGGAGTATGTCCTCTATAGGGGACATTGAGTCTGAATGGTTACAAAAAAATTAAAATTAAAATTATCATATTAAATTTTAAAATGTTTCAATAAGTATAATAGCAATATAATGTAATGAAAAATTATTATTTTTATTATTTAAATTATTATTCGCGGTCTTCGTTGCATCGCAATTATGATGTCGTCGTTATCGCTCTCACTCTCGTCTTCAAATAATATTCTACGATACATTATAATAGTATCTTCACAGGCAGAAAAATTGTATGCAAAAACGAAATATTCAAATACGACACACAATAATCATTCTTGAAAGCAAAAAATATGTTAACAGTGATAATACGTTTTAATATTGTTGTTTGAACTAAGAGTTATCTCTTAACACTCAAAAATATTAGGAGTTAAAATCTGGGAGTTAAGATTTTCGATAACTTGATGTTACCCCTTAACTCTAAGTCGTGAAATTATTTTTTTGAGTTAACCTTGAGTTATTGGTAACTTGCACTTTAACTCTTGTTGGTGAAACCGGCCCCTGAAGTACTTGATAACGAATTAATATTAATATTTACTTTAAAATCGGTATGAAATAAATTCTCAACATGGCATCTATGCATAGTATATATTTAAGTATATATTTCTAAATACCTACTTATTTTTCGAATTCAATTAAATATAATAACAATCGATATTTTATTATGTGGTTCAAATATTATAGTATATTGTTAACATTTAATTTTTTAACAATCATATTGTATTAGTAAGTATGATTGCATGAATAAATAAATAAATGATAATGAAGAATATTCAAAAATTGTATTACTAATATTTTCCAGAGCTTTGCAAAACCTTGGGACGACACTGTGTATACAAGGACGCCCATATGGGGGGAGGCAAGGGAGGGACATGTCCCCCTGGAAAATGTCAAAAATCTTGGAAAATTGTTTACTATGATCAGAATGTATTTATTTAAATAGAATTTAAAAATTTAATTTAATATATGAAAATCTATAATTTGTTCATGAAAAATCTATTTCTTTAGTTTGGAAAATTAGATTATCAGCTATAAATAACTATACACTTTTTCGGGATAGTTAAATTGCACTTATTACCTATAAATAAATGGTTGAATTGCACTTGGGTTGAAAAAAGGTAATGGTCGAACTGCACTCGTTCAAAAAAAGTTATATTGGAAAACCCTCTAAAAATATTATGAATCTTTCTGTTGAAGAATGCTACAGCGTACTTATTTAATAACATTATATATTAGTTCGTACCATTTAGATAACACAGATAATATTATATAATAATAACATACATACTCAGAAGCGTATTACCAGGGTAAAATGTTTGAATACAGTTAGTCATAACTACAAAAAATGATCAAAATGACAAAAAAAAATTATAATGACAATATATAAATTTGACGATTAAAAAAAAATGTACACCTAATAATAATAATAGGTATAATATAATATAATATAATGTACAATCTAACGATTATAATATAAATATATATAATTAACATATTGTAATGTGATGTATAAAACAATGATTTTTAAACACACTAATGATTACTAAATGGTAATAAATCTAACTAAATAAAATAAATCTAACCCTTTCAAATGCATGATAATTTT